TTTATTTGTTTCCTTGGGACTTCACATTTGCAAAGTTGAGCATGTGTTTTGGTATCTTCCTGAATCCCTACTTGCCCGATTCAAGATGCACAAGTAAATTACTTTCTCTGGTATATTACTAAGCTACGCACTGGACACATTTTGCTGCCTGTATTGGTACCTTCTGTACTATTCCGTAGTATAGCTCGTGCTCTTTCATGCTCTTTGCTTTTGAAAATTGTTTGCTGAGTCAACTTTAAAATTGTTATAAAAACCTAAACCTTTTCTGATCTACAACTCTTAGATATACCTGTAACTTAAAGAGAAAACCCTTAGCAATTAGAATTTGGAAACAGATCCCCCCGTTGAGTAACATGAATTCCTAGGTGGTAGCTGCTGTGAAACATTTAGATTCTTTTAGTTAAAAAATAGAGGGATCAAAAGGTAATACATGGACATGTACAAAAATATTAAAAATGAAATATTAAGCATTTTTGTTTCAATAAAATGCAGACTTTGTTCAGTTTACTGGATTACAGTGATAAGGGTGCGTATATTGGAGCAGATCAGAAATCTTCTCATGGGGAACTGATTTTGTCAAAAAAAAGCTGATGGGATTCAGTTAAAATGCTCTGTGGGGATCCTGTCAAAACTCTTGATGGAATTGATAAACCCACTTTGGTTCCTGCCTGCCTATGGGGCTGGAGCTGCCGGCTCCTGCCAGGTGTCCTGGGGGCTCGGCATGTTGGGGCCGGGGGCTATGCCATGCTGGGGCTCCCTGCACTCCCAAACTGCGGGGCCGCATGCCTTCCTCTGGCTGGGGGGTGAGTAGGAAGCTGTTCTGAAACTCCTACTTTGGGGAGCCTGTCTGTTAGCTGGAAAAAAAAAAAAATCGCTTTGTTTTTTTTGTCTTGAGTTGCTCTCCAAATCACTTTCTTGGAGTGGGATTTTTCTTTAACTTTGCCATGATTTGGGTGTGAGAAGAGGATGGACGAAAAAGAGAGGTTTTAGAGGGGAATGCTTTGCAGGGTGAGATTTCTGCTGTGCAGCAGGCACTGATAAGGACTGAAGGAGGGGGCTCAAGGGCTACATGCAGAGATGGTGAGAGACTGTACTGTACCAGTCTGGGAAAATGATTAATCAATACTATAGGGATTTGTTCTAGTATTTAGTTCATTTAATTTAGCCTTCTGTTTCTCATCTCATGAGTTCTGTAAGAGAATGTTCTGAATGTGGTGCTGATTCAGGATCCTGGTGATTTTAAGAGAAATCAAAACAGTCCCCTAACTGTTTTTTATCTGGATCTTGTTGCAAATGGCAGTGAAGAGAACAAATGTTCTATGTTTCTAATTGCAAGTTGCATGAATATGGCTCAGATTTTAATGAAGGGAACTTGGGGAAGTAATGCTGGGGAGTAGTGAATGATAAGCAAGCAAGATCCTTAATGCACATTTTTCATGGTCCTCTTGCACTTGTGTAGCTGTAGGCAACCTTTATTTTGATGCTTGCCAAGTTTTGAGAGCTTGCCTTTCTGACCTTAACGATCACTTAAGTGGAAGCCTGTAACTTCATAAACCTTATTTTCAGCAGAATTAAAAAGAAAGGAGAAATCATCTGAAGTGGCATTATTTATGCCAGTGTAATTCATTAATAGAGTTGGAACTTTTCACTTCCTTATGCAGACCTTTGCTTCGTGGGTACTGGCGAATGTTGTTGCCCTTTATGGGGGATCAGTGCTAGAAGGAGAAAATGGCTTCCAGTGAGCACAAGGCTATTTCCCTCCTTCTCTTCCTCTCTTCTGTAATGTTAGTCACTTTTCCACTGTTGGGCTCTTCTCCTTGTCCTGTTTCGTTCCCTCACACAGCTGTAGATTTTACTACCCTGCTTTCTTTTAATACTTACTGCCTTGAAGTTTTCTGTCTCAGCAAGAACCTCTCCCTCCTCTATGCTCAGTTGTAACACTTCTCCTTGGTGGTCGCTTCCCTCTGGTGCTTCTTGTCCAAAATAAGCCATCTTTGCTCCCAATTACAGCATGAAAGCTGCCTAGACAGGATGTGCTTCTATTGCCTCTCCAGTTGTTTTAACCAGTTCTCCCCTATGTGGTAGCTCATCATATCTTTGTTTCTTGCCCACTGCCTTGTTTAGCTCTTCAGTCTGTCTTCCCTCTGTCCTGCCTGGTTGTTTCCCACCAACCTAATGATGGCAATCCCCTCTCCCAGTATATATGTGCTTTTCCTAATCAGTTCTTAAGTTTGTCCTGTTGCTTCTCTTCCCATTTCTCCTTTATGCCCAGCCACTTTCCTGGCTTTCTTCATTCCCCTTTTTTCCCCCACAGTCTGTCTGTCACCCTCTCAGTATTGAATTTCTTCTTCCACTATGGATATCAGTGGTGAAGTAACCGAGGTTGCTGTAAAGGTAGACCTGAAGTGTCTGTGGGCTCTCTACCTCAGTGCAGCAGGACCTGTACTTACAGGACAGATAGCCGAAGAACACTGGCTGGCTCCATCAGTGGCTCATGATTGGACTTGATCTGTGTGGGAGGTTGGAACACACCTCTGAAATCCTCAGAGATTTTGGTCAAACTCTTACAAATATTTACTCAGTATTTGTAAATATGTACATTGGAGGCAGGGAGAACTTGGCACCTGACACTGAGGGGATAGGCAGGTTCTTTAAGGGGTCCTTGGCAGCATCATGATGGCAGTAAATTGTAGTTACAATTAAAACCTTTTCTTAGCATGATTTTATGATTAGTATAGCACAGAACTTATGATTAGAATGGCACAGGATTTCTACAAGCAGAATCCCCATCGTACAATTTATAAGTAGCATAATACAGAGTTTATATTACAGCTTAATTTATAATTTCTAATCACCTGGCCCCTCTGCCGATCAGGTCAAATCTTAATACATGGTTTGCCATATCAATATAACAATCATAATCTAGACTCTAAATTCATGTAAAAGAATGAGTCACTCTGTCAGTCCTGGGAGGAAGCAGAGGATGGAGGAAGCGGTCGGCCCTGGGTCTCACTGTCCAGCAGCAGCTCCAATCCACATTCCCCCCTTAGGACTTGAACTGCTTGATTTTTCTAGACAGTGCTGTGGGTGCAGTTATGCTTCCCTGTTCTGTGAGGGGACCGTCACCACCACCTGATGGCCCCGGGTGCCTGGGACCTTCAGGGTCAGCCAGGAAGGGAGTAATTGGCCTGGTGCCCAGGAACCTTGAGGCTAGTAGGGAGGGAGGGGAAGAAGAAATCGTTTGGTTTGTCTGGTTGGTTCACAGGACCTTCAGGGCCTGATATTGAGGGGAAAGAGAATGAATACATGGCCCACTTGGTCTCAGAGAGTGTCAGCTTGCCTCATAAATTGGTGTTAATTATGCTAACCACGTTGCAAGGAGTCGGGAGCAGGGGGTATCAGTCCCAGAATGACCCTATGAACAGTTGGTTTCAATGTGAATGATTGCATTAGGAGAGACTTAAGCAACAGAGGGCTGAGTTTTACAGTGCAAAGTTGTTGATAATATTAACAATAATAGGTGCACCTAAGCTCCCTATTAACAGTGGTAGCAGGTATTAGTGACAATTGAGGATGTTTTTTGCTGGAGGAATGACCCACAAGTGATTGAAAGCCACAGTGTTAACTTCTAGGATGGGAAGAAGTTGTTTAGATTAATAAAAAGATGCATTAAGAAGTAATGGAATGCATAAAACAAAGTCACTTATGACTGAGTCAGAGGAGTTAGTAGAAGTTTTTTTTAATGTTTACGTGTTGGCCAGATGAAATGCACAAAGATCCTGTAAGAAGCGCTTCCATATTAATGAGAGAAAGATTGTGCAACAAAATATTCCTTTAATATGTCTCTTCTGAGAGAGCATATGAGTTCTAGAAATGCAGTATATAGTGTAACCTCAGTGTTCACAAAGCTACTTGAAATAGATTGCTACTTTTCACTGTCTGGCTTAGACCACTAGCAAGCTAGAATTGAGTCTCAGGTGTTCAGACAGACTTTTTTGGTTAGTTAAATCTGCGGGTTTTTCTTTTGATTCATGTTGGAGGTGCTGTCCATGATTATAGGAGGTGTCCCAGTGTGTATACCAACTGAAGTGTTACATATTTTCACTATTTAGTTCTAGAAATAGTAAGTAGATGATACTCAACATCTTAACTACACTTAATCACCAGATTATGTATTGCTCTGTTTTTGTGGCTTGACACTATACACTGTTCAATCACAGGTATACCTGGGTTTGGTGTTCTTATTCCCATAACATATGCCTACAGCTGGAATAGCGTAGAGTCAAGAAAAGTATCTTTGCTTTGCATAGTTTGCAGTTCTTTGTTTGGCTAGTTTAATTGTGCTTCTCTATTCTTCCCATCCTGTTAGATATCTAAACTTCTTGAATACTGAAACAGAAGAGAAGAATAAGTTTTTCAAGTAGGAAGTGTCTCAGAAGTTGCAAATACAGGTTAAAGTGAGAGGTGGTGGTCTGTCTGACTCAGATGATTGTTTTATTTTACGTGTTTGCATGCTTATCTTCTGTTTTAGAAATAGAAAATAAAATTTTTACATTTTATCATAATGTTTCTTTGAGTGCAGTCCAAGTAAGTTCTTTCATTTAAATTCCACTTGGCATGTTGCCCCACTTAATTTTACAGCTTGGTCTGAACTTTTTATAGATGTACATAGTTATTAGCTATCTGTGTGCTGTGTCGCCACTTTCTTCAAGATTAAAAGAGTTGGAAAGTCACTTTTAGAGTTGGGTCAAGATTTCATTACAAATGTTAATAGAAAAGTAGAGCTTGTTCTCTCTTCTAGCTGAGCTAGATTGCTTATATACTATTCACCAAGTAATATTTTCCACAATACAAAAAAGATTTTGAAAAACTCTTACCTAGCATTCTGTAAAACATCACAAAAAGTGGGGTTTAGCACTTGAGGGTCAAAATGTTTACATCAGTTTGGGGGGATACGTTTGATCTAGTTTTAATTAATTTCTTTTATATTTGCCCTCTAGGTTCCAGCAAGGTGTGGGGTGACAGTCCGAGACAGCCTAAAGAAAGCTCTGATGATGAGAGGTCTTATTCCAGAATGCTGTGCTGTTTACAGAATACAAGATGGGTATGGTTTGTGTGTCATGGTTTTTGCTCTTGGAATCTCTTCTTGGAGTTACCCAGTATGGCCAACTCTATCCAACGTTGTGCAAGGTTTTTTTCAAAGTTCAGAATGATATGATACTTTGCACTAAAACAGTTCGTGCCTTGAAAACATGTCTAAAAAGAATGTCAAACTTCTAGAAAAAGATATAATTACTTCAAGAACAGACACAATATAGAGTAATATGAGCTTGTAGACTGCTGGCAAAACTCTCATTAATCAAACTCATGCTAACCAAACAATTATTAAATAAGTTTCCTTAACTTTTTGGTTTTATTTGACTCGGTTGTAGTGTGTTCTTAACTGAGTTCAAGTGGGGGAAGAAGTTGAGTGCTTGTAGACTGCTGGCAAAACTCTCATTAATCAAACTCATGCTAACCAAACAATTATTAAATAAGTTTCCTTAACTTTTTGGTTTTATTTGACTCGGTTGTAGTGTGTTCTTAACTGAATACAGAGTTCAAGTGGGGGAAAAAGTTGAGTTTCCAGCCCTAAAAAGTTTGTAGATTAACTCACAGCACAAAATTGTCAATCTCTTTGAAACTCGTATGGAAGAGGTACTTTCACAAACACTTTATTTGATCAGAAAGGTATCTGTCACTTTGGAACCAAGGAATTGGCCACTACTGGAGCTGACTGAAAAAGTGCATTTTGTTCATGCAGTTTGTCCAGGTGAGGTGTGCTTTCCTTGGTATGTGCTCAGCTTAATGTTTTGCCTTTAAAGTTTCCTGCAGTTAGAGACTGGGTAGCAAACCCCCACGGTGCAACTTTCTACCTGATCTCACATCTTCAGCTGGAGACCTGCAAGGGCTTGGGTGCTGTTGCTAATGAAAGGTTTATTTACACTTTAGAGAGAAGAAGCCAATTGGCTGGGACACGGACATTTCCTGGCTCACAGGAGAGGAGTTGCACGTGGAAGTCTTGGAGAATGTGCCACTCACAACACACAATTTTGTACGTAGTTTTTTATGAAATGTTGAGTAGGGTTAAATCAACTTTGTACCTTCGAATTCAAATTAACAACTTTGAATAATATTTTGTATCTGTGGGATGTGGTGGGGGTTGCAAAAGAAGTTTTTAATCATAATAGCTTAAGTGAATTAGGTAGAATTATAATTGAAATAAGTGATGGTAGAGTACTTGATCACCCTTAAAACTTTCACAGTTGGATGGAATACACCCTCTAAAATCTATAAATGTAGGTAGGGGGTTTAAATCAGCACTGCATTGCAGAGCTGTAATAATAATCTACTATTTTTGTATTGCTGTATCTATAAAATGTATTCTGGGCCTCCCTGCTGGCTCTGCAGCAGCAATTAACTAATGAGCTAACTATTCCCAGAGCAGTGCTGACATCATCACTGATGCTAGTGCACCAATATGTTTTGACCCGATAAGGCACCAAGTAAATGGAAGCTACTAAACAGAATCCATCTAAACAGTTACAGCTACATACAAAATCCAGGAAATAATAATTGTCACATTGAAGAGAACGACCCTTTATTTAAATATTAAAAACCAAAATTCTCTTTGTAAGCTGCTTAATTTTTTTACTCAAACAAGCTAGTTTGGCTATGGCTAGTTAGATGAAAGCCTGGTAGGCTTAACATTTTTTTTTAATATCCTTCTGAAATTTTGATTATTACATGTAGTAATACAAGTAGCATGTGTTTTTATGCCAAGTATTGCTAAAATTGAAAATGAGACTAAATCATATTTTTCCCCCCTATAATATGGGGATAATATATGTTCACCCTCTTGTGATTTTAAATGTTTCTGACTTTCAGTAGTCGAAATTACAACTATATATGTAAGCATAGGTAGAAGCCATATATATATATGTATATATAAGCTGTATGTGTACTTCCAGTCCCGTGAGTGTTGGATAGAAATGTCATTTGGCTCTTGGAAAAATTAGAAGAGGAGATAATCTTTTTGGCAACCTTTGTTTTTATAGGTTGTATCCAATTAAAATCTGAATGTTTGTCTCTACTATGATAATAGTGCACCGTTTTGCTTCAGATTTGTTGCTGTTTTTCTTACTGCTAATGAAGTGGAGCATTAATTCTAATAAATAGTTGAAACAAATTTTTAATGCATGAAGACTATTTCAAAAAGGAGACAATCTTAATTTACATATTAAGATTGTACGATTTTACAAATTTTATGTAAATCTCTTTGATATATAAAGCTATAGCTCCAGCATCAAAAAAGAGGCTTGTGTGTTTGAGGGGGGTAAAAGCAAACAGCCTATCTTAGGCTTAAAGAAGGGCTCTGCTTAATTGTTATTATTATTTTTGACAACGTAGGTACGAAAAACATTCTTCACATTAGCATTCTGCGACTTTTGTCGAAAGCTGCTTTTCCAGGGATTCCGGTGCCAGACATGTGGCTACAAATTTCACCAGCGCTGTAGTACAGAGGTGCCACTGATGTGTGTTAATTATGACCAACTAGAGTAAGTAATCACAGTTGGTTTTAAAGTTGGGTGTTTCATTAAGCTTCCAACTGTCAGTGATTTCTTATATTAAGTCTAGTCTGTAATTCAGGAAGTCAGAGGAGGTGCTTGAAAAAAATACAGCAGTTCAACTGTTCTTGTGAGGCTGCATAATTCGTATTCTCTGTGCTAGCTCAGACATCCAGTTCATATTTTTTTGCTAGACTCTGAAATGCTTCCTTTGAAGCATGGATAGGGTGGCTGAGCAGTTAACTGTATCAGGCAGTCTTCTCATTTTTCACAGTTGTTATTCTTAATCAAAACTGGTTCTTTATTACATGATGGCTAGGGCCCTTGAATGTTTAGATGTGGATTTATTCTCTTCAACTCAAAAAAAAAATGTTAAGACACTAGTTTAATATGGCGAAATTGCAGTTGGTTTTACAGTGATTGAAAATAAATCCATTAGTGAGTTTGATGGGTAGGTAAGAAACATAAAAGAGAACGTCCCAAACGGTCATGTGTTCTTGAATTTAATTATTGATCTATTTGTGGAAGTCTTTGATGTAGGTTGAGGATCTGGTGTAAACTGGTTCTGTGTTCTCCTTGATTGGTTTCAGCAGAGGCTATTAAGTCTTCTAAATAGACTTTCATATAAGGAATAATTTTAAATGCTAGCTTTTCCTCCAAGAATAAATTTAATTTCTGCTTATGTTGGTATTTGTAATTGTTTCTTTGGGCACTTCTAGAGTTTGTGCTCAGGGCTTATGGATAACATAGTTCTCTCCATTTGGTTTTTGGCATTTCATGAGTCCAAACTTTAAGTTCATGTACTCAACATATAGGTATAAGTTGTGCATTCTTGAGGAACCATATGTTTGCAATGTCAACTAAAAGATTAAAAAATTACTGTTCACAAAGGTATGTTTAAGGCATTATATTTTGATACTTTTGTTAAAAATATTATTTACTTGAAATCTTGCACATTAAGGTGTTAGTGTAGTCTTTATTTTAAAATTTGGAATTTGATTAGTGAGGGTTTGGGGTTTATTTTTCAGTCTTTGGGTGTTATATTGTGAAGCTTCTGGGTTTTGCACAAGTTAGGTTGTTTTTGTTTTGTTCTTGCCTCACAGTTTGCTGTTTGTCTCCAAGTTCTTTGAACATCACCCCATACCACAGGAGGAGGCCTCCTTAGGAGAGACCACCCCAGCATCTGGATCGTACCCCTCAGTGCCCCCCTCAGATTCTGTTGGGTATGTGCTGTTTAATCATACAACATTTCAGTGCTGTATGTTTAGAAACACTCAAAATACTGCTTTGCAACTCTCTCTACATTTTTGTAATCTGGCTTGTCATGCAAATGTATCCACCTGTGCTTAACTTTAAAGAAGTGAATGTTTTCATTCACAGGAATGATATAAGTTAGTAATGAACCTGAGTTAAATGTGTGCATAAAGTGTCTGTAGAATTGGGGCCTTACTTGTTAAACTGATTTCTTCTCCATGGTAGATTAGACCTGGTCTAAACTGGAAAGATTTTATAATTAAAATTAATGCAAACCAAAACTATGTCCTCACAAATTGTTCTAGTTTGTGTTATCAAACTACAGTTTATTTGTCTTGAAGTAATACACCTCTGTTTCAGAATAAGCCACACCACTGTAAGATTGGTGTGAATAGATGCCAATTGCAAGTTCATAATACTGCTCTAGCTATTCCACATACTTACCACTTTAGTATCCTCCCGACCAGCTGTCTTCCTCCTGTTCAGATGTTGGGATGTATCAGTATCATCTGTTTGCTGCAGATGTAGGTTTTGTAAAATTAGACTTCTAAAACTGACCACAGCCTCCATCCCCTGTATTTCCAACAAAGATTCTGGACTCTCTCTCTGTGAAGAGATAAGTTATCATATTTAGATTATGTTCCCAGTAGCAAAGAGATCACTGGCACCACCAGCACTAGATAGTTGAACAAATCTCCAGGAAAGAGTAACTCAAGGATGTGTATCAAAGTCAAGAAACCTGATGCAGATTTATTAAGAACACCAAATACAAAACCCTTCAGAAAAACATTCCTGGGACGTACATGCTGCATGGAGATGAACTGGATTTGGCAGAGAGGCTCTCTTGGAATAGTGAGCATTGTGCCCAAACTAGAGCAGAAACGCAGCTGGAAGCTATGGAGGCACCTATGGACTCTAACTAGAACAGAAATTCCATGGACAGCCAAGATGATTTTATGAAAGATCAAATATGATGCCTCTCCGGAAAACAGATTGACAGTCCTGCAGAGTGAATCTCATTTGGTGAGTACAAAGAGACAGTGTTCTCATTTGTACTATTTTGTGCAGTTTCAAGTGAACTTGAAGTGCCTCTTCCAGGTAGTGGATGTTGCCTTTATATCCCAGGGATGCAGGGTACAGTGGATTTTGGACAAGGCTGTTGCTGTGGTTCTGTAACCTAAGCAGGCTCTGCCTTTCTTATGGTACAGCTGAAATTATAACCAGGTTATAACTATTTATCTATGAAGGAGTTTGTTCACACTAACTGTGTTAAATGCCTGCGGATGCCAAAGGCACTATGTAGCCCTAATACTGGTATATGCAAAGTTTTCCTACTTTTCAATTGCCTCTGCCTCACATTTGTGCTTTCTTACCAGTTTATGGGGATGCAACAGGATGGATTATCTTAATTGATACATGCACTACTTCAGACAGTCTTAGTTTTGTGAAGTAAAAACTGAGAGGAAAAACTGAGACCAAAGCTGGTTAATGCCTTAAGTTTTCTAACTTCACATATATAAAAATATTAACATTGAAATATACTTGCCAGTTAAAATTAAGGAGCTTTTCCTAAGTGTTGCATCTGTAAATGTTTGTGGGTACAGGAGCTGTAGAAGTTTTCTAGCTTTCTACTTTTTGCTTTTTTGCCTTTCTGTACACTTCCACTGATAAACCACAAAAAAAGGCATACGTCATGCCTTTGAAATATGTTTATTTTGAAAACAGTTAATGCTTATCTGCTTGTGTTCATAAGTAGTATGCATGTTACAAAGTTTTATGCAATTTTCCCCAAGCATCTGTTTGTAGTATTTCCTTTCCAGAAGTAGCTCAGATGCTGTTGTATGAGCATATAACACTGTCCATACCTTTCTCCAATTATCCCTTTGCCTTTCTTTAATAATACTTCTCTGCTTTTTAAATACATAATTGTGAAAATATTAATTTCTCTGAATATTTTTTAGATTAAAAAAATGCTGGCCTTTTCTATAAAAACACAAACTTACCCACAGTTTTGTTAAAGGGTAATGCTACAGTATGGGGCAACAGTTCAACAGGAATAAAGAAAAGTCTGACATTCGAGTTGTCTTGTCTGGGAAGAAAATAAAGGATTGAAATTTGAGAGTTGGGCAATGGGATTGAAAATATGAGGAACTAGCGCTTTATTAACACTTATTAGCTTAATAATTGTTCCTTTGATTTCTCTGTTCTCCTAGCATCTTGCATGGCACAGCCTACAGAGGAAGGGATGTTACTAGTCGTTTGGTAAACCTGAGGAAAGAGAAGGCAAACATCCTTCTTCATCTTTAGCCTTGTGAAGGGATTCCAGCGGCAGGCAAAGTGCCCAAAGAAAGGAAGAGTCAATGTTGCAAGACAAGCTCAAGAGCAAATGCGTGTGTGACATGCTGAGAAATTGTCAAGGGATCAAATGGAGAAGTTGGAAAGAGAAAGGGACGTAAAGGAAAAGACCATTGGACATGATACAAAAGCTGATAAACATGCTGGAGAACTTTGTTTCACTTTGCCCATTTGTACCATTGGAAAGCAATCTACTCTTGTAGCCTTTCATTCTTCCAACTGTAAGCCATAGGCAGTCCCTCCAGACATTCCACCCCACGATAAGGGAGCACATGCGGTCCCACTTGCACATTTCTGAACCCCTTATAAAGGTGTCCAGCCTCCACATTAGGCCTTTCGTTCCATTTTAGCTCTTTCAGTTTGCCTTATCCTGTTGTGCCAAAGCAGTAATTTTCTTTAAAAAGCTGCACTTAACTGGAAAGAATTATTAAAAGTGTAGGTCTCCCTAATAATAGCCATTTGTAATAAAATTGAACTACACAAACTGTATATAATACATTGTATTCATTTCATTCATTGCACTATCACAAAGTTTCTTCTGTATCTTTGCTTGTAAAATATGAGCACAGAATTGCTGTGAACCCAGTTCCCTGTATCTTACAGATATATGAAAAGGGGAGAGATTAGCTATTTCAAAATATTCCAAAGTTGTCTTTTTCAACTTCCATCTATTCTGTCAGATGTTGTGATGATGTGGAGTGGGTGGTAAGGGGGTGCATGGTCAGACTGCATAGCACAGAGGCAGGTTGGACTCAACAGAAACTGAAAGCGTCCGCTTTACTTAAGACAGAACACTGCTACTAAGCAGGTTGGCAACATCTTGGTTCTTTGAAAAACGTTTCCTGACATGCTTAATCTTCTAAATTTGAGGAAGAAAGGGGGACTGTCTGGTGCACCACTCTTGGAAGCTTGCCAGTTCCTGCCTTAGAGCAGGCTCCAGCCTGTGATTAAACACCTCTGCTGTGCTTTCTGTCTTCCAAATGTGCACTGATCATTCTGCCTCAGACGAAGATATTTAAATGTCTAGAAGAACTTCTGAAAAGCCAGTGAAACAGAGCCGCAGTCTTAAAATATTGTATTTAGTACTAAAACACCATTTAGATCCTCATGTGTTTCAGTGAGCAAAAGCTTTGTGTTTTATTGCATAAAACAGTTATGAACTTTTCCTCTAAAAATTCTGGCACCAGACCTTTTCCAGACCACTCCATGTAAATGTTGACAAACTTCTTACAATGTGCAATTTGCTGGTTGCGTAGGCCTGGTATCAGAATCAGAATATTTAGAAGAAAAAAAAATCTTTAGACTGTGCAACAGATGGGGGAAACCTCTTACTCCCCAAAACTTTTATTTGCAAAAACATGCTAGTGAACTGAAACCTGGTTTGGAGGACTAAAGACAGCTGTGTGGGTTCTCTTCATAGTCCCTGGTATATGAAACTGTCAGAAATTTTATCTAGAGAACTTAGCTTTGATCTGGGTCCAGAGGCCAGTATAAATGCACACTGTTATGATAATCCTGAAAATTATTTTTCACCTACAAGCCAACATGGATGAAAGCAAGTTATGGTATAGGAAAATGCACTAATCCATATGAAGTTATGACTGTTACAGATCTGTCCCATGATGCTTTTTAGACTGACATCACAGGATGCTGTAAGAGTGATCTTCTCTGCCTTGTAGTTACAAACTTGTACTGCTATCCTTTTTACCAATATGACATGTAATTTGGAATTATCAACTATTTCCAGGTTGCGGAGGTGGGAAAAGTACCAATATGACATGTAATTTGGAATTATCGATTATTTCCAGGTTGCGGAGGTAGGAAAAGAAAAAAAAAAATTGCTTTGTTTTCTGGCAGTATCTATGGAGTACCACAATAATTAAATTATAAATGTTTGACCTTAAAAATTTACAGTTTACTTGCTTGCTAGTGTAGGTGAAATACCATGGTATCCCAGATCCTTAGCAGTCCTTAGAAACTGCTTGAAAATGGAAGTACACTGTGTTCTTCATTAACAGCAGTAATAAAAACCAAAGCCAATCATACTCTGATGTAAATGAGAGGGGAAAAAAAAAGCCTTGGTACACATTTTATCTTGCAGTAGGCTTGGCTAGGGTATGAGTATGTAGTCTGCCAGGTGAATAGTGTGTACTCCACTGAACCCTGTGGCTAAACCAAGATGCACTTGTTCAGGCTGGGAGGGGGAGAAGAAAAAGCTCAGTCCAGCAGAGATACTGTCATTTTAAAAGGGAAGTAGCACACACCCTACAACTGAAGCTAGGTGATTGTGAATTTTCAGTTTAAGTATATGCCTAACTACAGCAAAATAAAAATCCAAGCAAAAATCCTGAAGCCCAAACCAACCTCTTTTAAGAAAAATCTTTCCTGAGTAGACCAGCTCTTAAGTATATGAAACATCGCATTGGTGAGTTAAAGGAAATTGAGGAAAATCTGTATTAAAATTTCCTTTATTTATAAAGTGAACTAACTTGTATCATTGCAAGTTCTAAGATCTGGTGAAGGTACTGTATATGATTTATAAAATTGTTTGTTTATATATAACATAGCATGCTTGGCACTTTTCTGAGTTTCCTTCCTCTTTCCCGTGGACTCAGTTTTGTAGAACAGTAAATCTGTGGACACATTGGCACATGCTGCAATTGACAAAGGATAAAAATCTACATCCGTCTTCAATTACTCTGGTCTCCTGACAAAATCTCTTTTCTGTTTTGTCTTCATAGAAAGGGAGGGGACAATGTGCTTATCCCAAATATGTGGTCCAAGGAAAAAGCATCTTCTGACATACTGCCAGGAAAAGTTGTAACATATTAAATGGAGATTTGACAACTCTTATCAGCTTGTCACTTGGGAAGCTGAGAATTGGTTGTTAAAGGAATGCCCACATCTAAGAGGCTGGAAGAAAGTGTGCAAGAGGTGGTATAACCTCTCTAATATGTCAGATTATTGACCACTTTCTTTGTAGAAGGTCTCCTCTAGCTAGCAGGTTGGCTGTTAAGTTCTTTAAGCCCCAGCCTACTGTACATGTTTGCCACAGTAAACAGTTCTTTGCAGCAGTTCTGATCTGGTTGTCTTGATTTCCCCCCCCCCCACTATGTTTGCTGGTACTGTGTTTGCATAGGCTGCAGAGCTATGTTGCAGCTCACCTGGAACAGACAGCGTAGACAGCGTCACCCTTTTCCAAATTATGGTGGCTGGTCCTTTTTGCTCCAGTGTCCCTTCTGCATTCCTGGAGTGATTAAAATTTAGGAATTCTATAAGAACAGGCTTTCGATAGCTAAGAGGATTTCTGCGTTCTTTGTGGTGGTGTGTTTTCTGTAGTTCAAGATCTTCATGTAGTTTAAGACCTTAATGCAGATCAAGATACAGCTTTTGCTGCACACAGGCAGAGGCTGGTGGTGATCTCTTCTGAGCTTGTGATCTCAGTAGGCCATCTTGGCTAGCAAACTGTGTCCTTCTGTTCACTAGTTAGCTTTTGTCAAGCAAAATTCCCATTTAATAAAAATAACCTATTTTTTTGTAAGTGTCCCAAAGACACCCACTAATGAAATCCTGATTGTATAGATGGAGCACATGGCTAACTGCTTATGAGATTCCCATCTCTGGTTTCTTTGGTATCTAAAGCCCAGAGATCATCCCAATAATAGTTTAGAGACTCCGAAGAAGAGAGTTCTTTATCAGCCTGTAATTGTTTTCTAAAGATCTGAACTTCCCCCAGTTAGAATTTAATGAGTAAAAAAAGCTATTCCAATTGTTTTCAAACAATGGTATGACATAGCATGCTATCTGTGCTAGCAGCGTGATGGGCATGATGACCTGTGACCAGAAATACAGAAGTATTTGCAGATTCCCTTAGCAAATGACCATTTATGACTCAAAGGAGAACGTAACTGAAACAGTATTTCTGCAATTTGGTTTTCTCTCCCTTGGCTTACTCATGATCATGGAAAAATCTTATTGCTTCTGTTCTCATCGTGTGGCAGAGTTCAAATGCTGTCTCAGTCACTCCTAGTGCAATGATCTGATGTTTGCTGTTACACGTTTCTTTTAATTTCATTATTACTGAGAAATCTCAGGAAGTTTGAGCAGGAGTTAGCTGTCCCAACAATGACAGTACTGGCCTGGCTGAGACACTTTTTAGGCTTTTCTTCTGAATTATTTTTGTGCAGCGTCTGGCACGCTTGCCCTAATGTGAAAATACAGTGCCTTAGAGTGTCAACCAAGTCCTGCACTTGTATCTGTGCAGTGTCCCATCTCCTGATGTGGGTTCAAGCTACATGGTTTCATTACAAAAACATTCAGGAGTTCAAAACTTCCTCATCTACAATAGAAAAGATTTTACCTGAAGGCGCTTGTTAGCAATGAACTTCAACTTACGTATATGTACATCAACTGCATTTAAAAAATGTTTCTGAAATTCTGAGCATCTTCTCAAGCGCTGGGCTGTTCAAGGCCCTTTCTCAGAGATGTGTCTGTTGGCAGCTTCTGTTCATTGCTTCCCAGTATATTCCCAATATTTATATTCTGTTGTGTGACAATAGATAACTACTTTTTTTAAGAAGTTAAAAAGGGTTAACCCCCCTGCCTATTCTTCCTCTGCCCCACTTCCCAAACATAATCTAAGTATTTTGTTACAAGAATTACTAGACTGTTATTTGAATTCATTTGCAAGCTCTCTGTTTTGCCATTCTCAATTGTGAGACTGTTGGCCAGGAAGGAAAAGGTGACAGGTATTTAGGATACAGATAGCAATGAGTTCTGGGATCAGTGCCAAACTGTATATAAACTCTTCAATGAAAGGTAGGGTAATAGCCTTAACAGCAGACCCGTTTCTGAAAAAATGTCAGGAGATCCTGTTGAAAGATGTTAGTTGCCTCTAAAGGTCTTTGGAGAGGCTAAGGAGTGTTCGGTTACAGGAGGCAGCACTGGGACCTGTTGCTGCTATATGCTGCTGTATAGTTTATTTCTGAAGCTTCTCCCTGTGGGTGTTGCCTTTGTGGGCATAGTAACTAAGCCATGAGTAACTGAATGGCTGGAGGACTCCTCTCTGAGGAGTTGTGATTTCTGTAAATTCTAAAAACCTTATTGTCAGATGTCATGTATATTTTAACATGAAGTTTTCTTTGACAAAAGTAGCAAATGTTTCTCATTAACCTTTTTGCCTTATATCCATTAAATCAAATTGTTAGACTTAACAGTGATTGACCTTGAGTAAGAGAAAAATGCCATTTATTATACTTTAACAAAATAAATGGATAACTAAAGAAGTGACATTTTGCCTTCTTACAAACAAAAAAGCAAGTGTTTAGATGTTTTGTCTTTTAAATATATGATTTGTGATACTGTAAATTAAAGATTTTACCTAAATTTATGACTGGCAGCATTTGCATTTCTTGAGAAAACTTGACTGTATAGTCTGAATGGTTATCTTCCTAGTCAAATCTATTGCATTACCTAACTGTAGTGCTGTAAGTAACGTTTGAAATGTTGCACTAATCAAAGTTATTTCTTAAGGGTTGAAGTTCAGAGGCGATATGTTTATTTTTAGTGTAAGTAATTCCTGTTACATTGGCCATAATATTAATCAATCATGTTGAGTGACCAGTGTGTAATTTTCAGTCTTTCTTCATTAACAGTAACCCCATCCATAGAATTTGTTTCATGACATCTTTTGACTGTAATGTTGATGTAGGATGTTAAGCATTTTTAGTTCTCAATGGGTTGCCATTAAAAATAATGTATTGTATTAACTCTGAAGTGAGGAAACTGCAGAGTATCTTGTTATCTGCAGTGCACGTTGGGCTACATGAATTTTTCAGATCAGTATTTACTGTTACTAGTTTGGTATGGTATGGTAAGGTTTTTTGTTTTGTTTTAACTCAGCAGTGTAATTAGGTGGTTTGTGCAGCAGAGAGCTGTTGCAATTGTTCATTGGGGAGTAGGGATCATTATGAATTGTTTTTATGCAGGCCTTTAGATCAGTTTTTTTAATGTATGTATTATTATAGTTGAAAAGGACTTACCACACCCGCTATGCAGTATTTCAAGCCACTTGTAGACCTAAATCCTCTTTTTCCTTGACTTTGTTTCTCAGACCACCAATTCTCCCTAGTCCTTCTCCTTCAAAATCCATTCCAATCCCACAGCCCCTCCGACCAGCAGATGAAGACCATCGGAATCAATTTGGGCAACGTGACCGATCCTCTTCAGCTCCCAATGTTCACATCAATACAATCGAGCCAGTCAATATTGATGTAAGTATTAATAACATTTAGATCAAGAATAGTAGATGTGATGTTTCCTTTATGAATATCAGTGTGTTAAATTTATCATGTGTACACGAGTTCTGTGTTTCTGAGCTAATCCTTGTTGGTCTGTCAGAATCTTCATAGACTGCATGTAAGACACTTTTGCTATTGAGAGCTGTAAGAACACAAATAACCCATTCTCCAAAAGCAGAAACTGCCTTTTGGCAGTCCTGTTCTTTCATTTTCAATGAAACATTCTACCACAAACCACTGTTCTTTTTTTTTGTCATTAGTCCGAAGGCTCATGCTGCTAGCTGTACCACAGCGTTAAGAATATGAAAGGCAGTAACCACTCTTGCAAACCATTAAGCATATTTCTTTATATGCCAGGTAGGGATTTTTAGTATTTGTAATTCAAGTAATTTTTCTGGCATTGAAGAAAATTAAACGATTGCAGTAAGCTGAGTTCAGATTTACTGAATGTTCTTTAGGATTTCAAGAGCCCAGTGTGTATTGTTCTGAGCAATTTTTTGGAGTGTTCAGAAACTGCTACACTTGTTTTCCCCATTTTTGAAATTTCTGGGTTCTGAGTCATAAATAATAATGGTTGATATTGGGTATAAGGTCAGCTAGGACCTTTCAAAATGTTGATCACAACAAGCTCTTTCTAACTTTGCTAACATGTACAGATTGTATTTTACCCTTAACTCTGCTCTCTAGAAAGTAGTCGTTTATCAGGTGAGCAGTCTTGAAGTATACCTGGACACTGAGGCACAAAATCTGTTTTGCCTGTGAGCTGAGTGAAAGGTGAAATGTTAGTTGAGCATTAAAAGTGTGGCCACGTAGACATTTGCGTATGGTATGTGACAGTGGTGCAGCTGAGAGGCGGGACCAGTGCTTGCAGCAGCAGTGCAGGTGTATAAAAGAATAAAATAATTGTGTAACCAAAAGAAAAAATCTTAATGATGAAAATGGACATACAGAGGAATACTGCTACAATTTTCTAATTTTCTTCTGTTTAGAAAGTCCTTAGTGTAGTTTTCTTTTAGTCTGGATATGTTTTAAGATACATTCTCGGTTTGCAGTGGATTGCAAATGAAGGAAACCTTTTGCAGTTAGTCATTTCTGAGAACAGAGTGCGCCTAGCTATGCAAATTAGGTGCTTTGTTACAAGAAAAAATGAAGCAGAACTCATTTGACTGATGTACCTCAGTACAGGAAATTGATGTCCCAACTTCTGATATGACAGTTCAAATAATTTGTGCCACAAACACTCTAACTAGAATGTTTGGTTCAATATTTCTTCATGCATTTTGGCCAACTGCGTGTTTAAATCAATATTTTCATGTCAGCATCTATTTTGGGTGGTGTACATTTCACTTTACTACTGAGAGATGCTGTTTTAAAGCAACTAATTTTGAAAAGTTTAGTTGTTATAAATAGTTCTTTGGAGTAGCTGCTATTAATAAGCCAGGGTAGGAAACAACCATTATTTCATGGACAACATATGAGGTTATGGATTCTCAGTTTGATCAATCTCAATTGATTCTGGAATGTAAATGATAATCCCTAAATTAAACACATTTTTTTTTATTTATAGGACTTGATTAGAGACCAGGGTTTACGAGGAGAGGGAGGTAAGTAGTGTTTAAACTACCTACTGTGCTGTATTTAATTACACAACCTCTCTGTCCCTTCCCTTTGTTCTGCTTCCTTCTACAAAACACAGGCACAAAGGAAAATATGACTAGAACAAAAAATGAATTTGCATTTGCTTGTCCATGAACTTAATATTTGTCTGACAAAGGTTTGAGTCATTTGGCGGTCATTCTGGGAGTGGGGGAGACAGAAGGAGAAAAAGTCTTGAAGTGGCGTCTAGTTTTTAAGTTTTAAAATTACCTTGCACAGTCACTTTTTTGCTCTCACTTTTTTTGCCACGCACGTGGCTGCACACAGATATGCTACAGCTTCCCAACTCTCAAAGATTTTTATGCCTGTTGTTACCTTTCCACCCATGGAAACAACAGGGGTTTTCATTGAAAACCATCAACAATGTAGATGGACCTTCCATACAAACCGCTGCATCCTAAAGCAGCGTGAAAAACTCCGGTTCTTCTCCCCCTCTACCCCTGCTGAAGATGCTGCTTTGCTGTACTGCATGCCTGTGCTACTCTTGGAACCAGGTTGTTAGGACCTTACACTAAAGCCGGGTCTTTTTATGTTTCCTTCAGTAACATACAGCCCTAATTCATCATTAAGTCAGAACTAGTGCCAAAAGCTTTATTTTTTTTCACATTATGCACGGGCCTGTTAAGTCACTTCCCCCGCTGGCCGTCAAGGTCCTGAGAGGGATTCCTATGTGCTGTATTTATTGCTATGAATATCATAATAATAATATAGAAAGAATAGAAATAAAGAAATACTAAGTAGGGCAGGCATATGACAGTTTTTCCAACTCCCAAATCATTAACACAGTTGTCTCCTACTAATTATACCTTTCTTCAGCCATAAGTAAAGTCTGAATTACTGTAGTGCACTCTATCCCGATGTCCAGGGTTTTGTACTGTGGGCTATCACTGCCTTTGTTTCTCCCATTCAAATCTGGTAGTTGGTAGGGTGGTACCTACCTCCCGTGTTGTGTTTGATGGAGCTGTTTTTTCCTATGCCGGCAATAGAACACTTTTTAAAAAAAGAATTTCCTTTAATCCTGCAAGCCTACTAATTTAAAGTTGCCAGTTTTAGCTATTTTTGTATGTGTTGATAGGTGTGGCTCTCCACAGTTTTGCCCATTTTGTCCAGCATTTAAATGTTGTGCTATCATGTTGGTTTTAACTTTTGATCATAAAGTGTCTGCTTGGCATCTGAAAACAATTGGCTGTTCCCAGTCATGAAACAGTGTTATTAGTAATTGACTTTTTTCCTTCAAAGTACAGAAGCAATCTATGAATAGGAGTCAAAGCATCCTAGTTATTTCCCATGACTTCTTTCATTTCTTCTATGTGTCTGTCTTTCTGTCTCTGCCTGCCCGTCTCTTTCTCTCTAACAGCCCCTTTGAACCAGCTGATGCGCTGTCTTCGGAAATACCAATCCCGGACTCCCAGTCCCCTCCTTCATTCTGTCCCCAGTGAAATAGTGTTTGATTTTGAGCCTGGCCCAGTGTTCAGAGGTAGTTGGGCTCTTCTTTCTTGTTTTCACCCAAACAAAATAAGTAAAACCACAGATGCTGTTTGTGCCTCACCCTCACACCGTGTGTATGTAAGTGTGTGAGTTTATCAAAACACCTCTGTTTTTTTGCTTGGCCTGGCTGGAATGCTTTGAATGTGCTTTTCACACATACTCACTTTCACCTTTACACGCTTGAAAATTACTATAAATAAAGTCTGACTTAAATCTTGAAACGCAAGGAATTTCATAGTTGAGGTTTTTATGTGGACCTTAACATATTGTTTCTGAACAAAGGTCCTTGGATTGCATTGCAGTGATTTTAAAGACAAAGTGACATCCTTAACTTAGAATTTCCTTGACTGTTCAGTTTGAGTCAGTTCAGTGCTTTAACAGTTTTCTGTATTTAATATTCTTTGTTTTGAAAAGTAATCTAGGAAATCAAATGTGAATTACAAACATTTCCATTGATATCTCGTTAGGTCTCAAGCTTTCCAAGTAATGTGTCATGTCAACTTTCAACAGATACTTCATTTTGAGAATGTGCTATTGATACCACATCAAGGCCCTAGATGGTTTAGACCACGTAGTTTTTGTATAGTTAGCAAATTTCCAGTGAAACAGTATTTGCATCCTATACCATGTAAAATAGGACTCTTCCATTTTCACATCATTGACTCGGGGCGTAATTCAGGCCTAAAGCTGTCAATGGATCTGTTGTATTGCACAAAATCCCAAAAAATCTGGGATTTCATATGCTGGAGAAACCAACTATTAAGTACTAGCATGAAATGTAAATATTTGGTCTGTACATACACATTTGGAAATGGGTAGTTCAGTGCATGTAGCGTGGTTTTCAAATGCTACCATCTTGGCTGTTTCAAAGACTTTTGTTTCAGAATATGTCAAGAGCAGTTCACCTTATGAACTTTGTAAAGTTCTTCCAGAAGTCTTGGTAAGAAGACAGGTGTTCCCAACAAGCAAACTGGCTACAGAATGGAATACGTTACATACAGTTTCAGAGTCCAAGCTAATGACTTAAATCCAACATTATCTGAAGTATTCTACTGTAATAACTTGGAAAACAGGCCATCTGGTATTATTATGAACAGATTAATTGTAATGTTCTACATGTGCTGTAAGTGTTTTTGGTGAAGGGTGAATATTGTGCTAGTGTTTCTATATCATAGTATTAAAATTTAAGTAGGAGACTTCAGTTACCCCTAAAGAAAATGCATTCTAGTAGAGCTTTGCCGTTACAGAGGAAGTCTGTAACCCAGTAAACTTTTAGAAAATTGCTCATGTTCTGGGAACTTCATACATTTAATTCCATGTATGATTTAAGACAAATAATATAATAAATATATGACAGTATAGTGACCATAATATGCATGTGAACAAAAGTCCATCCTTCAGGTCACTGGCTCCCAGCTACTTGTAAATGTAGTTAGGATGCCCAATATGCATCATTATTGTTGCTTTAGTGTGTGGGACAAGGTTTATGGATACTGCATCCCATTTTTGATGTGTTGGTCTGTCATTATTTTGTGCTTCCACTTCTAAATGTATGGATTTTAGCTCAGTGAGGACAGACAGTGCTGTATATATATAGTCTGATAAATTAGCGTGCATTGAGTGACTGAACTCGAGCAACAGTTTTAAAAGTCACAAAGTCAGTTTTTGAACTATAGTTGGCATTAGGAGACACTTTTTTGGTAAGAAGGTGGCTTCTGAAGGAATATGAGGAGGAGTATTGTCTTCTACCACTTCCCAGAGCACTGATGTGAGAGAAAGCATTGGAATGTTGGAGGTCTTGTACAATGTCATACATTGTTTAGCAGAGCAGCATGAATTTAATTAACAGTTGACCCTATTTTATGTCCTTTGCATTGAGAGGGTCAGCACAACCTTGTTACAAATAATTATGGTGTATTTTAAAAAGCAGTGTCTAGTTGAAGTGCTCTTTTTGTAAAGCCATTGGGGCTCTGAAACACAGCTCTGTTAGTGACATTTTCCTGCATAGATTTGTTTAGATAACATACACACTGCAGATATACTGTTCTTTTTGTATTTAATAGAATATGCTTCAAATAGCTAACTGAAGTACTTGTTCTTTTTTAATCCTTTCTACAGTCTAATATTTACTTTTAAATAAGAGCTCTCTGCTAACAGATAGCTTTAAAACAGCCAAATGGTTTTCAGGTGGCACTTGGAGACTCAAATAGAAAATATTTCAATTTTTTGCATTTAATCTATTTTAATTCCAAAATACAGTGTTTCAGCTATTTACTGGGTCCCTAAAGGGTTAGCTACAAGAAATCTGAGAGCTACCTGCTGAAATGCTACTACTTTTCTTCTCAAAGAAACTGTGGAATTAAAAAATATATTTTTTTTTCTATTTAAAGAAACATTGTCATGTTAATTCATGAACAAGAGACTGGGGAATATCTGGTATACAGGGATGTTTGCTATAGACTTGTCTCCTCCTGAAATGTAAGACTTAAACACTAATCTAACATTAGGACAGTATTCCTATTATATGTTTGTTCCCTCTTAACATTTACATTGATGTTTGGAGATACTGCATTTTAAAGACAGTTCTTGTACCTAATATCAATACATTTTTATAAGCTGGCTTCTTATAGATAAAATTATCCTGTTTCTGAAATTTAGGTTCAACTGCAGGTTTGTCTGCAACACCTCCCGCCTCTTTGCCTGGGTCACTCACCAATGTGAAAGCATTACAGAAATCACCAGGACCCCAACGGGAAAGGAAATCATCCTCATCCTCAGAAGACAGAAATAGAATGGTAAGGGACAGATCAGCTATTTTCATTCGTAGTATGGTATATTCATATTATAGAAATACTACGCAACCATGTTCCACTTTTCTTTTATATTATAGAAATACTACGCAACCATGTTCCTCTCACTTTTCTTTTATCAAAGCCTTCTGAATTATTTTCAAGTTGATTAGGGTAATAATCAAGGACTTTAAACCAATAAATAATGGAATATTGAAACTGTGGGACTGATATATAAATCATTTAAATAATTGACTATACTTACTTTTACTTTGGTGCACCCAAGTGTTTTGGTGCGCTTCATATTATAATGCCAGTTTCCCTTCAAATAACAGCTTAACTTTTCCCACCATGATTCGTGAACTTTGAAAGTTCTCTAGTAATATTCTCAAATGTAACAATACATAAAAATGCCTACATTTTTCTTAATTCACAATTTAGCATTATGATTGAGTAAGAATTGAAAAATAAATGGTCCTTTATTTTTTGTAAGAGTTTCTTAATATCTAGGGGTTTTAACACTGCCAGAAACGTGTGGCAAATATTTCATGCCAGGAAGTAGTTTAGTATACCTGTGTGCTGAGTTTTTGTGTATGGCTGGCTTGAAAAGTCAAATATCTGAAAAAGAAAGTTCTTTTAGGACTTTAATGATATGAAATGCTGATATAAAATCTTTAACAAAGGAGCTTTTTTCACAGACATTAATGCACTTGCTTTCTTCCTGTTCACTGTTTACGCATATATATAAAGAAAACCCTTGGTCGACGGGATTCAAGTGATGATTGGGAGATACCAGATGGACAGATTACAGTTGGACAAAGGATAGGATCTGGATCATTTGGAACGGTCTACAAAGGAAAGTGGCATGGTATGTGGCCGTCACGGCAAACAGTTATTCTTAAGCAAGTAACATTGCCTGCTGGGGGTCACCCAGCTGGAAAGCAGCTTCACAGAAAAGCACCTGGGGATTCTGGTGGACACGAAGTTGAACGTGAGCCAGCGATGTGCCCATGCAGCAAAGAAGGCTAATGATATCCTGGGCTGCATTAGGCAAAGCATTGCCAGCAGGTTGATGGTGGTGACCCTTCCCCTTAGCACTGGTGAGGGCCACACTTGGAGTGCTGGGTCCAGTTCTGGGCTCCTCAGTGCAAGACAGACATGGACATAATATGGAGAGTCCAGTGAAAGGCCATAAAGATGATTTTTAAATTAATAAGTAGTGTGCTAAACAGGTGATGTTAGAATTTCAAACTGTTTAGGAACTCAACTCTTGCATGTTCTTCTGAATTAAGTAATTATTAAAGTAAAAATGAAACAGTTACTAGAAAGGCTGAAGCATCCATCTTGATGAATGAGGAT